ATTGCGGGGGGGTGTTAAACCTGCTTGGTTTCAATGGGAACATCCTGGCCGCTGTATGGTAGATGCGACAGTTATTCAAATAACTGTCAAAGTATTATTTGTCTGTGTGTCAGTCTGTGCTTCCAAAATTATAATATAATATCATCATGGCATTCCGTAAAAATGGATATTGAAGCTTTTTTCATTACTGTTCTTAGCTTAATTTGCTTATCTAAACTTCAACTGAGTTTGTTCTGTAGCGACACCAGAATGAGTCAATCATAAAACCCCGTAGATAAGTCACTCACCACTAGTAATGAAGTATCCTTCCCTGAAAGTATGCAGATTTGTGTCCTGCCGATAATCAATAACTACTGGATCTGTGGAAACAATAGTAAATTTTTTATAGCCAAATATGCATGAATAAATATTATTGCTTATGCTCTTGATCTCGCAGTTATTAGATATGATCTTACCTTCACGTCTGTTCAAAGCAGCTCCCACTCCGTATCCAGTAGGATGCAAGTAATCCTGCTTAGCTATCCATAAAGGTGCTCTGGCGACTGGGTCTGTGTGGGCAGCAGGCAAAGTCGCAGGGATTTGTAAGGTTGCCATAGCAGCGAGGGAGCGTAGGACTGTGGTGTAAGCACGGCGGATCTCCTTGGATGGGACCCCGTATTGCAGCGTACGTGTTACTATTGTTGTTCCCTCTGAAAACAGTGAATGTGGGTAAGATAGCTGGTAGATTAAAAAAATCCTTAGATGCACTAATCACGTGGTTATCGTCGTCCTACTTTACCGGCTTTTTGTTATTTTACCTTGGATTCAGTTGAAACGGTTACCCATTTGGAAGCGACATTTAATGCAGGCAGTCTCCGAATGAGGCGATGCCAGTTTTGTCAAATTTGATGCTAGCAAAACGCAAGCATGTCTATTCTCCACTAAATTTAGTTCCTTTGAACTGACTCCGACTTTTCGTGAAATATCCTTACCGATAGCTGACAGTTTCCAGCTTGGAATTAACCTGTCCTTTCAGTTGTGTCAGCTTGGAATTGAACTTCGGCAGTTACTTAAAACTAATCCATGGCGAAAAATGCAGCCAAGCTTGGACGTCCTTCTATGGTGAAGCGATTCTTCACCGGGACAATTGTTTCAGCTGTACCAAGCATAAGTCCGGTTGTGTATGGAGTACCGCTGCCACCTATGGGATGGTTCTGCTAAATACCAACTGGCCACCTTGGATTCAGTTGAAAAGCTTACCAAGAGGCTTAGAGGTGACTCTGAATTAGTAGAGGTGAAGCTGCAGAGCCTTGAACACCGCATAGAGTTGCCTACTTATCGATATTTTACAGCATTACTTTATATCACAGAGAGTGCGATAGAATTGCACGATTTGATTCCGTCTTCTCCTTTCCATCACCATAGACTTGACGCAGGCTTGGGTTCCACCCCTATGTTGTGGATATTCCAAGGTTTCGCACATTATATGGCCAATGGCTGTAATGTAGAATTCTCTGCTCGCAGACTTATTTTCAAGGCGAGAGTGGATAGGCTTTATTTAGGTAGGTATGCATCCTTCATCGTCACTTTCCATCTGGTGAGATGGAGATCAAATGCGCACTTGCATTGTGTTAAAATAGTACATTACTTACAGGTAAATGGTACTGTGTAATGTGGATTGTTTAGATATGGAAGGCCAAAATTTTTGCCACACACGACCTGACTACAAGGGTTTCACTCCAGAGAACCCCAATTAACTAAACACAATGTTTTAAAATTATTTATAAAATTTGATTCTATATGTTTTTATTTGTCATGTTATGCATCCCTGTTATTTATTTTGAACTCAGCTCTCCGGAGAATGTCTAATTTGGCATCATTGCCGTTTGCACTATTTTGTGTGCAGTTTAAATTTATATAAATAAAAAATAAATTAGCCTCTCATGCATAACCTACTATTTGTTTTCGCTTACTTACTTGTTGGTTGCAGGTCTCCTGGGGATAGATACCTGTATATCGATGTAAGATATACCTCCTTGAGTAATAAGTTCTTGATAATTAATAATAACTTACCAACATACTGTCCACCGGACTGGATAATTAGGGTGGAGTTACTAAAAATCCGTCGGTTAGTAACATTAGTGGGTCGGTAGTCGGGGATGGCAGCGTTGGGCCCGAACGCCACGCGTGTCACCATGGACTTGCCGTTGAAACCCGCTTGTGTGGCCCGTGTTGCGTCCACTTTTGTCACTACAGATATTTCTGTGAGGCCAGATTTACCCTGAAAGCATGGTTTTGTTGGTTGGAAGTGAGTGTTACATAAAGAATATAATAACATGAAAATTGTTGGAAAGAACGGCCTAAAAAGTTACTTTTGTTATTATGATCTCAGGTTAAGTACGTCTTGTCTTAATAGGCCATTCAACCCAATTTTCGTCTGGCAAGTAGTTAGGTGCTTGCGTAACGAATTACAAATCGTTTTAATATAGGTATTGAACTGTGAAGAACCTCCTCCGTTTTTTGAAGTCAGTTAAAAATACGTGAAATCAGAGTCCAAGTGAACAAATTCAATTTGCCCAACTTACAATGTTCTCCAAATAATTAAGCAAAGTACACATCGCAACCGCGTCTTTCAGGTGTGCTCTTTTCATGCCCTTTATTTCGGCCTCATTCTTCTGTGCTTTCAAATAAATTATAGGCGATGGCAAAAACAGCCTCTTCCCCAAAGGAACGGCTTGTGAGATAGCTGCAGACGCTCCTCTTTGGAACGTTCCTGCTATCGGAATCAGAACTTTGGATTCTGTGGTTCGCCTGAGGTCGGCGTAAATATTTGCGTAATCGATAACTCTGGAATGAAGAGAAGTACATAAGAACAAATGTTAGACTGTTATGAGGTAGCTATCATCGAAATTTTGAAATTTGAACAGTCAGATGCCAAAAACTTACTTAGTACAATTATTATTGGTGTTAAAGCAATTGTAGACAGCCAATGCTTCTCTGACGGGCATCGAGAGCTTCCCAGGTGGGGCGTAGACCCGAACTTCTTTCAGGCTGACGAAGACGAAGGCCTTGAGCAGGGGGGCGTGAGGTGTGTCCTTCCCTCGCACGTTGAGAAGCCACGCGACTTCGTCCAGAGCTGTCACTACCATGGCGTCTGCGCCGTTGGCTGTTAGTTCGTTTCGGACTAGAAGTACTTTTTCGCGCCAGGAGAGACCTAGAAATATGGAATGCTAAACATTCGTAGCAAAGCTGTTTTTTACACATCAGTGGATGCAGGTGCTGACATTTTAACCTTAAGGTCAGCAGATCCTGATGCGGATGCTGGTATTCGCGATAACCCTGATTGGTAGGTACCTATTGCGATTGAGCTATATGTTTGGTTGGTTCTATAATTGAATGTCTACCTACTACTTTATTGTCTTATATCGATTCAACGCGAAAATAGCTTGCACAGACAAGAGTACAGCAACTTTGACGGACGTGCTTCTGGCCCTGTAGCAAAATATTCCTGACTACTCCATTATCAACATCACTAAATATACTCCCGAACTCATAATACGAACCACCTCGCAATTTTGTCTTAAAGGGCTGGAATACAAAAGTAGTGTTATCGTCGAAGAAAAAGTTTTTTCACGATTTTGCACATCCAAATTCCCAACAAGGACTTACGGAAAAGACGTTTAGTATACTAGTTTCAAAATTGCTTAATAGTTTTTGGTCGGTCAAACATTTTTTAAGTTTAGGACATTTAATACTGAAAATGCAAGGTGGCTCGAATTATGTGTCCGGGAGTATATCATATAACAAATATTAGAAAATATGAAATCAGGTAGATGAGCAACTTGGGGCGCGTTCCTATTATGTCGCAACTTCTTATTTATCGTTGGACGACTGTCGTGTTCAGACACGACAACCACGACAGATGGTCGTGTTATGGGAACAGATTGTGTCGTGGACGTTTATTTTATCGTTTAACTGCCTCTGTGGCCGAACGGTTACCATGCCGGACTGCCACGCCGAGGTCCCATGTTCGATTCCCGGGCCGGGCGAATATTTGTATGACCTACATTTATTTCTCTCGTGAGTTTGGGTGTAATTTGGTTGTCTATGTGTGTGTCCATGGCACCCGCGACACAGGGTTTCCCTAGTGCAGGGCTATGTTGAGTGTGTGCGTTATTATATAAAAAAAAACTGTCGTGTGTAGCTGTTCCCACTATATATTGACGACAAGTTATCCGTTCACGGCAGCCGCCTTGTCATTTGCACGACAGAATCGTTTGAAGCTGCGATTACCTATCTGTCGTCACATTTTTATCGTGACTTTTTATTTATCGTCAGACGACTGTTGTTGTCACAACAGTCTGGCGTCGTAACGTCAAAAAAGTCGTAAACAGTTAATCGTATATGTGAACAACTTCATTTAAATATACAAGCCACGACACTTTAAACTGCACGACTATCTGTCTTGACATAATGTGAACGCGCCCTTACCGGTATAGTCAGTATGATGCAACTGTGCAACGATCCTAGAGAACTCCGGTCTTCGTCGATTGAGGTCTGGCTCGTCGGCCCACAGCTGGTCCAGCAGCGTAGGCATGGAGATGAGCGTAAGCCCGACCGAGTGTAGCGAGGCGTGAAGGGAGCCCCACTCGCCGACGGAAGTTAGACGTGCGTCGCCGCCTACGCGTCCGTTGCGACGAAGTTTATCCTGAAGTACAGATACTGCATTATAACAATGATGAAGAATGCTATATTGCGTTAAGAAAACTGTATGTAACCATACAAAGCCGGGTTCGGCACGTAGGGCATTACACTACAACCAATAAAATTTGTTCATCATGCTTTCAATCAAGCAAACTACTCTGACATCGTCACAAAGTCGAATAGTTTTCATTTCATAGGTAAGTAAATTACACTTGAAATCTTCATATTGATTAATATTGCTCATTTGCAAGGCAAGAGAAGGAAGCAAGAAACTCTACTGGTTGCTAGAGCTAAACTTGCAGTTTTGCAAGGCCACTGACTGCAAGATCACTGCTAATTGGGCGACACTAGCAATCATTGAGCTTTACTAAGCAGGCTTAAATGGATTGTTTGTTACATTATCACCTTAAACAGCTCTTGTTAATTTCAACCAATTTGTTTTTAGATATAATTGTAACTTTTTTTTAAAAAAGTGACCTCTAAAGTTGGTAGAATCACATCCATCATTTGCCAAGTTTTATTCAAATCGGTTACCGGAAAGTGCACGAAACCGGATCCATCCCACCTTTATTTTGTTCAAATTGAAATGAGACCTTTTACACCTTTTTTGGGAGCCATCACGTAATATACATACAAAAAATAATACAGACGCATTGAGAACCTCCTCCTTTTATTTGAAGTCGGTTAATATGTTATTAATACAAAGATCGAACACTACGAAAAATTCCTTCGACCCGGCTGGATACAAAATGATACAAACCAGCGCCTTCAGTATAACATGAGTGACGCTCTTCCAACTGAGCTACGGAGCGAACCAGCAGACCTCACGAATTTGTCTATGCTTGTTGCAGAATTTTGGTTCTTCTTTTCGTTTTAACGACTTTTTTGCAGTAGCCATATTTAATGAACTTAATATTAGAAAAAAATAATTTTACACCTTTATGAGATGTAGGTACTGACCGAGATCCACTCAGCAATAGTGGGCTGACTGGGATCATCCTGGTCCACGATAGTCCACGGGCATGGGACCACCGCCCGCGCGCGCTGCATCTCTCCCGCGGGCACCCATAGCGCGGAATAATTGTCCATCACCACCCCAGTGCCTACGCCGTCCCAGCCGCTGTTGTATTCTAGGCGACGTTCGTCTTCTTGTGGTTCTTCGCTCTGTATAAGTATTTTAAAGGATTACATTATACAACCGAGGTCCTTGAGGTCCAAAAACATCTCAAGGCCCTCGGTGGTAGTGGCTGGAAAGTTTAGAAAGATCTCAAGAGCAGGCTCAGAAACGGGTCCCACGTTGGGTCCACCGAAGTAAGTTAGCTACTTTATACAACGCTACAAAAAATAGCATCAAATATATAGTAATTAATACAACAGTTAAATGGTTACAGGTTTCTTACCAAGATATAACTTCGGAACTTTTGTATCCAACAAAAAAGAATCATCCAAATCGATTCACAAATGAATTGGAAGCCTCTATCTTTTTATGAAGTCGGTTAGAAAAAATATATATATAAATATAACAATAATTGTAAAAATTATGAACTTTTATTTAATGTAATTTTGTAATCGCTATTATTTTGTAACTATGAAAAACAGCAATAAAATCAAATTGAACTAGAATAGTATTTTAAGCAATCATTGCATAATGAGGATTCCGGTCACGAGGCTTTGCTGAGAAGAGCCTTTAGTAATAGATACGAGATGATTTTAAGACCTAATTATGTAATGATGCATACAATACTTTTTCTACGAGTGAATAAAATAATGAAACAACCAATATTTTATGTATATTTTGTTAACAATCTTTGACAACAAACCCAAACGAAAGCAAAATAGAACGCTTCAAAATAAAAAACCAAAGAGATAGAAATGTAGAAGTACTTAGCTCGCATAGATTAGAGGATAGAATAGTCTAAGGTTTTAACCAATCTTTTTTTATATATAGGTTTATGGCCTGGTTGCAAGACCTTTAGGTCAATATAAGCAGAGAGACAGTACAGAATTGAGTAGCGTCATAAAAAATAACACGTTCTTTTTTTCTAACACATAATTCTGTGTACACAGTACTGTCATCCTGTAAATTTTGTCAACATCCTCCAGGCTACTTTTTTATACAAGGCCGTGCAACCCAACCATAAATGACTCGAATCACAGAGTAGGAGCTACATTCCTGTAGCGGGACAAATAAAAATAAGTAAGTAATAGCATTTAATTTTATTAACATAGATCTTTAATAACACAAGTTATTCACTTCACATAAAATGTTTCAAAATGTATGCATAATTTTATCACTATAATGAGCTTTACATTTAGCACTGATTATTTTGTGATCTTTATAACAGAAGTAGATTCTACTCTTTTTAAATAATAGGTATGAGTAGCATTTAATTGTGTTCTGACTGTTCTAATCTAGCTATATTCATTCAACTACTCTAATTAAATATTCTATTTTTAAATTGCCATTGTGATTACACACACTCTTGTTGAACAAGACATCATTTTCAACAGATTTTGTTTCATACCCTATGATTTCAAAGTATGCAACTTTCGTGCACGTACGACAGATACTATTGAAATTTTCCTTAGTTCTAAGAATTATTTCAGTTAGTTCATATTTAATTACTGACTCATCGGTGAGTTTACCATGATACACACAAGTGCTATGAAATAAGTCGGAAAAAATTTTTCGTCGGAAAGAATTTGCCAGTTCAGCAGCGAGTACCATAGACAGTAGAATTTTGATTTAGAACTAAAAAGAGCGCCTTTGTGATATGGTTTATGAAGTTATAATTGACAAATTAAAATACACGAGTAGACCATGGCTGTAATGAGAAGAAAAAAGACCAGAGGGTTTTTTATTTGGGGCATTATAGTCAAGTAACCCTGCATGCAATCATACTACTTATTTACGAGCTAGTGTGATAAAAAACATTGTATGTTTCACGGGCGATATTAGAATTACGAACGTCGACCCCGAAGCTTCTTCTAATGGAGTCTCGTTTGTAATTCCTTATTTACCGCCTTTGCTGCCCAATATACCTTTATACAGTACAGTCATGAGATTATATATGCAACTCACCAAATGTTCATCGCTGAAAAAGATCAAAAAAGCGTCAAAGAACGCATTCATTTGCGTGTAACTTGTATTCTTCATGGCCATGCGGAGTCTACCCAACGGACTGGTGATGGGGACATTGCAGACGTCCACGGCTGGTACAGGTAGCAAGTCAGTCATGGTGGTGGTAGACGGACGCGACACCGGGTGCAGCGCGATCGTGGGGGGTAGAGTGCTGGTTGACGTGGGGACAGGCAATATTTGTTGGTTGCGTGCGGCGGTGCATGCTGAAAAAAAAAAGTCCTTGATCATCCGTATTCTATTTTTGAACGAATTTTTTTATATTTTTTTAAGATATGTACCAAGTAATGGGACGAACAAGTCGTGCGCCTGATGGTAAGCGATACGCCTGTCCATAACAGTTGCAGTGTCACTCAGGGCTTCAAAACACAAAGATCTGAGGGGCACTGCCACTGCGTCCGACACCCTGAGACAAATTGATAAGTCTCATGTGCCGTTATTTCACCATCATCCTTATCCTTCAAAACCAGAACTCAGTAATGTTAATATACTGCTTGGACATGTTATATTGACATATATAAATCAGATGTTATATGTTTAAGATGCATTTAGACCTTAGAGGATAGAAAAAAAAATAAAAGAAAGGAGCTGCCCTAACTACAGAATGAACGTGCTTATAACCAAAATTTGAAAATTACAAATGGCGGATTTCTTTAGTGTTGTACCATAATCTATCGATAAGTCATTATCGACATGCAAATGTATGGCTTGAATGTTGAAACTGTTTTTTTTTTGTTTCTTTAGTTTACTGTAACCAAAGTATGCCTAAACAAACTCAAGTCTAATAATTTAATCTCGAGTGGTATATTATTATTAAACCGAACGACGGCAAGGCAAGACAAATAGGTTGTCTATACGTTAATATTGGCCTTTACCCGGCAACGTTGGACTAACATGTCATTGTATTGCATGCTTTAAAAAAATAGTCATTTTTAATAGTTAGAGTTGTCATTGGGAAAAATCAGAAACGAGTGGATAATTTTGTTTTCAGGAACTGAGAATAACTAGTAAATGAGTCTTGTTTAATCTAAATTGAAGATAAAATTATTTACCAATAAACCTACTGATGGAATAGCATTGTCATGTAATCTAGTTACATTCAAAGTTCTGTTAAAATTTGACTCTTCAAAATGAAGCGAACAAATGAAGATGGTCTTTGATCCAACGCTTATATTCGGCAGTCTTTTGATTTCCAACCATTATTTCTTCCTTTTTTCATTTGTAGGAAAACTTGAAATAATTAAAATAGTCATAATAAAACAATAAAAACCTCGTAGTGAATTGTTTTAACAACAGAATATCGATAATATGTATGCTTACAAGATCAACACTATCTCAAAATAATCGTTAACAACAATCATCAAAATATACAAACAAACAGGCAATCTTAAGTAAAAAAAAGCAAAATTTGGCAAGATTTATAAATAAACTACTTAAATAAGTCTAATTACTTGAAATATTTGGGCTATTATGTGATTTATAGACAAAAAAATAACACATGCCTGTGCAATGTAACATTCCATTGATTTCACTTTTTTTCCGTTAATGCTGCACCGTCGCATTTTTATTAATACCTAATTATTCTCACTGTAAATATTTTTGTCCAATTTAATTATATTACATGTGAATAATTCAATAGTACACTTGGAAAAACATTTGTTTTGACATTTGATGTACTTCCCTTTGACAACGGTATCATATACCTCATGTACTGCGAAATGGACACGGTTGGCATTTAAGATGACGTTACGTATTTTCGATTCCCGTGTTTGTAACAAACCAATGTAATGTTATCTCTTTTGGCTGAAGACGGCACGTAATAGTTAAACAAAGACAATAACATGTTTATGTTTTCAATGTCGAAGTGCATCATATACATATAACGTCTGATTTACATATGTCAACGTAACATGTCCTTTAGTTTCCATAGTCTAAGATTTAGACGGTCAAAACATAAACATTTTATTGTCTTTGTTTAACTACTGCGTACCGTCGTAAGCCAAAAGAGATAGCACTACATTGGTTTATGTCAAACACGGAAATCGAAAATACGTAACGTCATCTTAAATGCCGACTGTCCTCGTCTTGCCATTTTTGGAGTACCCTTTGACATCCGTATCCGGTTGTCAAAGGGAAGTACATCAAATGTCAAAACCAATGTTTGGCCAAATGTTTTAGTGAATTATTCGCATGAATTGTAATGAAATGGACAAAAATATTGACAATGAGACCAATTAAGTATTAATAAAAATGCGTCGCTGCAGCATTAAGGGGTGCGGCAGTAGAAAAAGCGGAAATCAACCGAATGTTATATTACACATGAATGTTATTTTTCTGCCTATAAATCATACGATAGCCGAAATATCTCTTGTATTTAGAGTCATTTAAGTAGTTTATTCATAAGCCTTGCCGAATTTTGCTTTGGTTACTTTAGATTGCTTGTTTGTTAGTATATTTTGATGATTGTTGGTAACGATTATTTTGAGATAGTGTTGTTCTTGTAAGCAGACATATTATCGATATTGTGTTTTTAATTAAACAATTCACTACGAGGATTTTATTATTTCATTATTATTATTTTTAAAGTTTACCTACAAATGAAAAAAGAAAGAAAGAATGGTTGGAAATATACCATCTTCGTTTGTTCGCTCCATTCAAATTTAAATAGAACTTTGAATGTAACAAAATTACATGATAATGCAATTCCATCGTTACATTTATCGGCAAATAACTTTATATTTAATTTTGATTAAAATGGCTCATTACTTGCCCAGTAATAATAGCCTAGTATTTATCATACTTTGATTACAGTAAACTACACAAATTTGCGAACATAAAACACAGTAACAACAGTTTCAACATTCAAGCCATACATTTGCATGATATTGACTTATCTATGATTATGGTACAACACTAAATCGGCCATTTGTGGTGGACATTTTTGGTTTAGGTAGGGACGTTTACTTTATTTTTTTCCATGCTCTAAGGAAAATACCGATGACCATTCTTCTTTAGAATTTAGACATCTCAGAAATCTCAAAGTAGTGTCAGTATATCATAATTTTTTATTTGCCAGCTCGGTGTTGAATTTATCTATCCTAAATTGGCACCAATCCAAGCGAATCTTTTTCCTCATCGTTGAGTTTTTGCGTAACACATCTCGAACAACGCCTGAAGAAACAAACAGTTGCATTGCCGGCTCTGCCTATGGTACAGTGTGCGGCGCACACGGACGCAGGGCCTGAAGCTCCCCGTAAACGATCAAATAAACCATCAAACAAGTTTGACAAACTTGGCTCTAGTTCACACTCGGTCATCACATCGGTGGTACGTACCGTACTAAATTTGTAATACAATGAGTCATCATATCACTTTGTAATTTGTGCAATGAGTAAGAATAACAGATAAAGCGTTTCTGGCATTCTCTGTAGCACTAAGTATTAGGAAAAAAGAAATAGATGTTGGTCTAGAGCATAGTTTTCCAAAGAGGTCTAAGTCTAAATAATCATTTATTCCATGGGTAAAATGTTTAAACTTGAAAACGTTATTTTCTACGCTACTGCTTGTTCCCTACGCTGACCTCCCTGAGAAGAACGAGCAAGAGACTCTAGGGATTGCTCTTTTCAAATAAACTTAAATGCTTTAGAATTCATTTTGAATCATATTTGTGTAGAATCTAGGCACACGTTGTCTTTCCGTACATCTTTATCTAACACGTAGTCTACAATTTTGTAATATGACTTTTCAATTAAAACACTTTTAAAGTAAGTTTTAAAGTTAGGAAATGGTAAGCTTAATATATGCTCCTGAATCTTATTGTAAAAACGTATACAGTTTCCAATAAAAGAATGGTTTACCATAGTTAAACCAAAACGTGGTACCATAAGTTTGGCGTTAGTACTAAGGTTAATATCATGGATATTTTCTTTCTTAACGAAATTATGTATATTTTTACGGGCATATAAAATATTTGAGTAAATGTACTGTGATGCCACAGTCATGATACCAGTCTCCTTAAACTTTTCTCTGAGAGAAACCCGAGAGCCTAGACGGTACACAGAACGAATCGCTTTTTTTGCAATGCAAATATGGTTTGAATATCTGCCGCTTTACCCCATATGAGAATCCCGTAGTACATTATACTATGGAAGTAACTAAAGTAAATTAGTCTAGCAGTAGCAACATCGGTGGTCCCTCCTTATCGCCCCTAGTGGGCGCTGAAGAGTCCTAGGGGCTTCGGAAGCAAATGGGGGCATCGATGCTGAGCAGGGGGTGCAACCGCATTTGAAAACATTATCTATACAAATTATTATATATGTAGTGTATATATATTTTAAAAAATTATTACATATATATATATAAAGCTCTGAGTGGCACTGCAACTGTTATGGACAGGCGTGTAGCTTACAATCAGGCACACGACTTGTTCGTCCCTTCACTTGGTGTTATAAAAAAAATATATACACTACATTATTTAAATAATCTTTTTCTTGTGATTTTTTGTGTTAAGAGGGAGCATCTATCTATCATCTATCATCTAATCTTCGATTTGATTTTAGAGGGGTATATCCACTTTAAAGTTAAAAATAAAATATTGTATGAGTAGCTACACGATATATTCAAGCATAGACATTAATCAGAAACATAAAACAATAAAGTTTCCTCGATAGATAAAAATCACGAAATGATATCTAATTTTCACATTTTTTCGATTCATCCTCGAAATGCTACAGGTTGTTAGGACAAAAATTAGATAATTAATTATATTTATGCATGATCGACAACTGTCACTACGGATTTTTTTTAATCCCTTTAGTTTTAGAGTTATTCCGCTAAAACGAATTTGGTACTTTTAATGCGCAAAATTCAACATCTCCTGTCGCATGTCACGCGAACTACAGGCATACAGGGTGGAACGGAACGACCGACAAAGCCGAAAATATCACGTTGAGAACCCAACATACATGAGTTTTATTTACTTTAAATGTAAAATCAGAGCAGTTGAAAAATATTCGTTCAGATTTAAAACTTTCGCGGTGCAACAACCCTAAGCGAATCAATCGTGTTAGTACATCTACTGCCCCACAGGCGGCGTTCCTGTCATTGGCACTCGCAGAAGAAATAAGTGCTCTCACTTGAATAGGTAATTAAAAAACATTGAACTTACTTTAAATTAAAATGATGTTCGATTTGTCCACGTCCCTTT